TGAAAATATAATTAATGAAAGATAATTACTCAATATTGATATAAATAAATAGTAAAGAAAAAATTTTAAGAGGTAATTGGAAAATAATATCTAAAATACAATCAAATATTATTTTTTAAATACAAAATTTACATACACTTCTAAATTTTACCTCTATTTGTGAGAAAAATTTTTAAAACTTAATATATTACCTAAGTAAAAAAATATTTAAAAGGTTTTGGAAAAGACAATAATATATTTTTATGACCGGATTCGAATATCTTTTTTATTTTTGAAATAAATATTATCTTAGCAAATGACTCAAAAACTCCGATTGTAAAATGACAGGTAGTACATACTGATGTAAATTTTTGTCCGTTTGCGTTTACTATTAAGATTCATACACAGGCAGGGCCATTTTATAAATAAATTTCTTTTGTTTACCTGCTAATAAAATATGAAAGAAGAGCACAGCAAAATTTTTGAAGCACTTAATATAACATGTTTGAAATAGTTTTAAAATAATTATTTAAAAAAAATTGATTGGAAGTAGGTACATAGATATTTATTTTTAATAACTTAAAAACTAACTGAAATTATTTGAAACAATTTTATAAGTAACGGATAAATAATCGAAATAAGATAATTCAAATTGTTGAAATGTGTCAACTTATATTACTTTTATTAACATTTTTGTTAGCCGACACTAGTCAACTTACCTTATTGGAAAATACAAAATGTGCATGAAAAATCATACATATTTCCTCATTAACATTTCAAACCATACTGAAATATGAATTTCAAATTTTTTTCATTTTTTCTTTCCTCCTATCTTTCTTTCTTTTTCGTGCAATAGAAGTTAAATGGAAGCTTTTTAAAAAATATGTATAATATCCTAAGATTTTTTAAAATATTAAACTCTTTTTTACGTAAAAAAAAGAAAAAAATAATAAGAAATATGACACGATCAGTGGCATTTAAAGAAAAATACAGGAACGAAGCCAAAAATTCGTAATATTTCGTAAAAAAAATTGAGTATTGGGACTTGTTAGATGTAAAGACATTAATATAACCAATAATAATAAATTATTATTGCTACGCTTTGGTTTTTTTCACACTTGAAATAATTTTGTAAAAAAGTTATAAAAATAAAGTTGGTTCAAAACAATTGTTTGTATTATAGCACTTTTCCCTTCAACAAGTGAAAATACTGCCTTTAAATACAGCCTACGTATACTTACCACACTATTAAAGTTATTTTCATTCATATACGAAACTATTTCTAGGGTTGCATATATTTAGGATGAATTATTTATGAAGTCTATAAAATAAAGCACAAGTTAATATAAAGAGGGGTTAAAATAATGCTCGATTTTAAGGGTTAATGGCATGAGTTAAGAAAAATAGTTACACTCTTTAATGTCACGTCCGTTAGCTTCTTGCGTTTATAGAAACTTAAAAAAGCTTGCCGTTTCAGATATATAAGGTGTCAAAAATTCAAATTTTACAAATTTCAAGAGGCGATAACCTGAGAGGGAAAAAATTTTTTTCTAACAAAATAAATTATTTATTAGTGACTAACAGCTGCTAAGATTTCAGGCTCCTACAATCGGGGGTCTAGAAGAAAAACGACATCAAAAATTTGGAAAAAACTGATTTTAGATAACGGTAAAATTGAACGGCCATTTTGTTTTTTTTAAAGTTTAAATAAAGTATGCCGCGAAAGCAGAAGCAAATGACTGCCTTTCTGCGTTTGCAAAATTTGAAAAATGCTTATGATTTCACTGCAACGAATAGTTAAAAGTGGCACTTTTAGGGTTTTGGTAGGGTATAACTTCTAGAGGGAGGGAGATAGGTAAAAATTTTGTTCTACGGAAATAAGTTTCTAGTAAAGATCTATGTACATATTAAATTTCAGCTTTCTATCTTCAAGCGTGTAGAAGTTTTGTAAACATGTCCACAGACGGACGGACGGACGGAGTGAAACTAATAAGCACTACTTTTCAAAAATTTTTTGGAAAATACTAAAAAGTTTAAAATGCTTTAGACGTGCTAAGATTTTCGAACATACTATCGCTATCAAACATCCTCTTTTTCATCTTTATATCGAATAAAATCATTGGGAATACCCAATATTCTATTTGATATAAAAATTTTTAGTAAAGTTTTGTAATAAAAGGTAAGTATGCTTAAAGTAAGCCAAATTTATCCTATCAAAATTTTTGAATTCAAATTTTATTTTGAATTTTTTTTGTAATTTAACTCAGTGCCCTTTTAAATACCGATGAGGAAGGTCTGTATCGATTGAATTTCTATAAATTTTAGGAAACATATTTTTAAGAAAATTTATTTTGAATATACCTAAACTTCGTGATTTTTTTGTTTTTTTTTTTTGCAAATATTAAAATAAAACTACAAAATTTATTTGCATAAACATCTTTGCAAGAATTTTTAGATGCAAATGACTAAAAACATAAAAGGATGGTGAGAATTTTTTTCAAGTAAACACCATAATCTTTTTATTGAATTTTTAATGATTCACAACATATTTCAATTCAGTGCCTTAATTCAAATAATCGCTTACTTTGAATCACAAAACACAAAGTATAAAAGGGTATACAAAATTTGTCTAATAATAATCGAAGCATATAAAAAATTTGCCTTACCGTTTGTAACGCCAATAAATAATGGACTCAAGTATACGTTTTGATCAGCGTCGAATCATTAGTCGATTTATCTTTGTCTGTCCGTCCTTCCGACGGTAACTCAAAAACTAATTGAACTCAGTTTACCAAATTTTCACAAATGATTAATTATAGTAAGTGCCATAATTAAATTGGATATGATCGACAATACAACTTCAAAATTTATTTGGCTATCTCGGAAGATATAGAAAATATAGTATTGAAATTTCACATAAACGAATATATTATTAGGGCCATTGTAATTGATAAAAGTCATTGAGATCTCATGAACGCATGTGGTAACTGCCATACAATTTCAATAGTAGTTTGACCGCATTTTAGAAAGTACTGAAATTTTGCATAAATTGATAAGGTAATACGGCAACTTAAAATCATAGTCTGTGTCATAGCCAGCTAACGTATATTTACTGGCACATAGGATAACAAATTCGTACGGATATCACAGAGTTGACCTGGTCAACATGTCAACTCTATTTTTTCTCGTTTTTCTTTGACTTTCCTTTCAAATACATACAATTAAGAAAATCTACTTTTCGAAAAATAGAACGCAATTCGCAATGATGTGGTATGCAAAGATAAACGAAGAAAGAATCTCACCAGCACGACCAGTCTTTGGACCTATGGGTGTATGAATTCAAAACTTGTGTTCTTTTTAGTGTTTTATATTTTTAGTGGATTTTAGCGAATTCTCTAATTTAAAATTTGTATAAATATTTTCGGATATAATTCACACTTTTTTTGAATGACACCAATACTCACTGTATAGCACAGATTTTAATTTCTTAGTATAAAATCTCAATTGGTATAACAAATATTTATGTACAGCACAACAAGTATTTTTGTAATCGTAGGTACATATGTATAGTAATAATCTTACTATGATAAGTAAGTAGACATACAAAGTCGTTATTGACATTAGAAAAAATCAAGACCGGACCGCACACTGTTTTTTTTGTAAATGTATTTGTTAGAATTGCATATGTATTTTTGGCGAAATGACATTTCTGAAGAATCATTTTTTTGTTGCTTTTTTGGAAATGGTATTTCTGCAAGCCGTGGCAAAAATCCATGATTGCGATATTGATTAAAATAATAACAGTGATGGGTATGTTTAATTGTAATAATGTTTAACCAAAGACTTTTAAAATACAAAGATGTACCAACAAGATAAATTTCTGCTTAAAAAATCAATTCTGGGATAACAAACATTGTCAGAACATAAGTGCATTTTTAGTTCTCTATGTTTATTTTTTTATATTTACTCTTTTTCTTTATTTTTTTAATTCTTTAACTATTTTTTTTTTGCTTCTGTTTGTTCAGTTTTTTTCATTTTATTTTGGTATGTCTGTATGCATAAATTATTCATATATTTAGCACATGTGGAAGATACACATATATACGTAACCATAGATATCTTTATATAAGACTTCGTCTATGGTTACGTATATAATACCACAAACATCTTTATTCTCAAGACTTCGTAATACAGAATTTACTAATAAATACATACAGTGTATTCAAAATTGATCATCATACTTTTTGTTAAGAAAAACATTATTATATTAGGTATTTTCGAATAAATAAGAAATGTTCATGGTGATTTAGAATGTTTGAAAAGTAAAAACGATTAAATACAAAATATATGTGTACAGAAATTATTTTATTTCCTTTTTAAATGACAAAATGAAATTTCATATTCTTACAAACTAGAATAATGAATTATAGGTAACAAAACTGTTTTTAGGTAATTTACTTTGTTCTTCATGTAAAACAAAAATAGTAAATACATACGTGATAATTCTTTTTGAAAAAAAATTTTTGAATTCACTTTGTTTATTAACTACATAACATATTTACATAAGAAAATAAAATTTTGAATCCACTTTTCTTAAAGCTAATAATATGCTTTATTGTTACCTCGTTCTTTGGAAAAACAAACGTAGATATAACATTTACGTTCTTCTTTTCTCGTAGACTACTGTTTCTTATAGAAATGCAACCTACAACGCTACAAGTTCGCGGTATTTCAATTTATAGGAATCAAATATATTATTATATTTTTATATTTTAAATATGCACACAATAAAAACTTTTGGTTTGATATTACTTTTTGTATTTTTAAAGTCTTTGGTTTAACTCAGTAGCTTGCAGATGTTTAACAGAAAAAATATTTATCGAGTTATTTAATTAATTTTCAATTATTCATATATTGGCATGTTTCATAAATTTGGCATGTATTTTTTTCGCAATACATGATTTCAAATGTGCATGCATACTAAATGTATGTTTATTATTTTATGCTTACGTTTTACTTACCAGGTAAATGATAATTGCTTATTGGTAGGTAAGTACATGTATCTTTTGGATTTCTTTATAAAAAATTTCATGAACTTATTAAATTCTCTGCTTTTGGTTAAAATATTGTAAATTTTAGTAAACACTAATTAAGTAATTATTTTGTTTTTATAGGTACATTACAAATAATTCTTAAAACAGTTAAACTTCACGATTAAAATAACACTTCTACTATTAAAAACGTTTTGATGGCATACTAATGAACGAATTTATTATACCTATTTTATGATTTTTAACAAAACATAAGTACCTACCTATGTATGTATTTTAAAACCTATTAAAATAAATTTTTCACTAAGTAAAATTTCCAGATATTTATTTGTTCTATTTAAAATTTGTTGTAAAAAGTTGATATATTTTTCCAGAAATGATAATTTTATACATTTATTTTATTAAAGAAATTCCGTTTGAAATTATAATTAATATAAAAAGTTTAATTTAAGAGTTGTTTTTTCCTATCTTAAACTCTTGTACACAATGTGTAAATAATATAAAATTACAAAAGTACAAAACACATACAATTTAAGGCAAAAAGGCATGTAAAGGTAAATATGTAATACTAAATCTGAAAACAACAACAGTTTTTTAGATTGACTTTATTTTACTAATATTTATATTATTAAAATTTTGTCATTCTAACGTCACTTTTAAATCATTTTGAAGAGGTACTATGATTTATATACGTAGCTATGTCAAAATAATGCAGACGAGTTCAGGTAGTCCAGTAAAAATTGCAATGTGTGCGTGAATTAAATATACCTAATGTAATAGCTACTAAGTTAAAAAAAAAACAGCTAAAAATACGAAATTTTAAAATATTTCTTTTAATTTTCATACTTTTTTAATCGAAATTTTTGTTTGATATACTCAATTTTTATTTTTTATAAGCTACATGTGTGTATTTGTTGATTTCCAAATAGATCTGAAATATGAAGCTCTTGTTTTTATATTTAATTTTCACAAAATAAAAAAATAAGTATAAAAAACATATGTATGTACATATTTTTATTTATATAAAATTTTTTTAACAAACTTCAGCCACTACTTTAACGCACCTGCACATATATATACAAAAAAATTAAGTATTAAATGCCTGACATTACAAAAAAATATTACAAAAAAATGAAATTTTTTCAAGCAATAATAAATAAAAATATTACTTCTCGAATAATATACATATTAATATTTTAGTTTACTTTAATGAAAAATATTACGGTTTTGATATAGAATTAATAAAAAGTCAAAATAATTAGAAAAATTAGGAAAAACACAATAAAATTATCACCCGTCTTTATAGCAACACGACGTTTTCATACTAAAGAAAGAGCAAATTTTTTATACATTTTAGTGTTTCATTCCGTGCAATGTTTATAAAAAAAGTATATTTATTTTATAAGTAGCAAAGTATGTCTTTTTTATAAGTAATTCGCACCGAATCCGAAATACTAAGGGAAGGAGCAACGAATTAGAAATACTAAAGGAATGAGCATCTTTGCTTCTATCTCACTTACAATCCCTAACAAATCTTATCTTGAAAAAAACATAGTGAAGCCAAAAATTTCAGTCTCTTTCTTTGCTCCAAGTATTGTCAAACAGAAATTAACATTAAATGCAAATTTTTTTTATTTTCTTAGAAAATTACGCACTACTACATAAAATGTAAACAAAGAAGATTTTGTTATTTTATTTATAAAATAAATGCAGTTTGTAAATAAAAAATCATAAAATATTTAATAATAACTGACAAAAAAAGAATACTGATTTATAAACACTTATAAAAGAAATATATCAATTGAAAAAAAGAAAAAAATCTGTTGAAGAAGAAAAAGGTGTAAAGTTCCAAATTGTTATTCCCATTTGTAAAAGCAAATAGTTTTTTTATACTAAAACAAATTTAAAAAGAAATAAAAACAAAATATTTATTCAATATTGCTTAATTCACAATTTGTAATTTTATTAAGGTTTCATTTTGCAAAGAAAGCATTTGTTTTTGTTTTGTTTAAAATTAAAGTTACTACGGATGACATTATTTTACCAGGACCGGATTTTTTTTGAGCAAAACGAGTTTGTGTTTGATAAAATGTAGCATACAAAAAAATACTTTAAATTGATCTTTTTTTTTTATAATTATAGTCTTCCTATAAATGAATTATTTATAAAATATTTTGTTTTAGAATGAATTAGTACGTGAAGCTCAATTAATGAATAAGGAAGCATACGACAACATGCCATCTACTTCAGTAAGTAATAACCATCGTATTAATTAAACTTTGTTCATGTGATTTTTTTTCAACGTTTTTTTCAAAGGTCACAATTCTTTTTTTATTATTGAAAGTACTGACTGCGTTAATATGTACACATTTTGTCATAGTATGTGTCGACACTCAGAGACATTCGTTTTTTATGAACGAAATAAATTATTTACGAATCGGAAAAATTTGTTATTAAAAGTAGCTAACAAAATTAACAAAGTTGGTTGAAACATTAAATGATTTGTAAAGAAGCAATTTTCCAAGTGCGAATGCTGCTTGAAAATAAAAATGGAGCCGTTAACATAATGCTCGCACCCAGGGATTTATTATGTCATTTATTGTCAGCTTTCACTCATAGAAATTTGAAAAAACTTGCAGTTTCGGAAATATATGCCGCTAAAAATGTAACTTTTATAAATTTGTGAGGCGAAAACTTGATAGGGGTTGGAGTTGGAAAAAATCTTTTATTAGTATGTAAAAGCTAGAAAAGTTTCAGACCTCTACAACCTATTTTATAGAAGAAAACTGATATCAAAAACTTGAAAAGGAACGGGCTTCAGATAACGTTTAATTCTAGCACATTTATTTTTAATATTCAGTTATTTATAAAAAATGCCAGACGCAACTTTTTTGCATTTGAATGTTTATAGTTTCTTTAAAATGGCCCTTTGAGGTTTTATTACTCTTAAAGGAAAAGGCGATAGCTAAAATTTTTCTCTAACGGAAGTAAGTTTCCAGTAAAGATCTATTTATATATTATGAAATTTCAGCTTTCTTTCTTCAAGGGTGTAGAACTTTTGCAAACGGGTACACGGAGAGACAGAAACTATATTACTCCGCACTTATTTTCAAAATTTTTGAAGAGTCCTAAAAAAAATGAAATGAAAATAAATGAAAGACAAAATGATCAACATCATTAGCATCAAATTCATCAACATAATTTTTAAAATTATTTAAAAATTTTTTTAAAATCCTCAACATATTAAAGTTTAAATTTTTTTTAAATTTTTTTTTACGTTTTATGTTTTCTGTTTTTATATTTATTTTGGACCCCGAAAAAAAAAAACCTTTTTGATTTTAAGGTCCGGAAAATTTAATATCTATTTTTAGAGAGGTTTGTCGGTTTGTCAGTCTGTTGGTCTGTGTGTGTGTACGCGTGTATCTCAAGTTCGACTGAACCGATTTTGATGAAATTTTATATATAAATTTATTTCGACCATGGCACGGATTGATAATTTTTCGGGATATATCAGGCTTCGGGAACTGCACTTTTTAGCGGGCCTGTTTTACATTTTTGACCATTTTGAAGAAAATATTCAACCGATTTCCTTGAAATTTCATATATAAGCTTTGCTCAATCGTCCGCGAAACCTCTTAACTTTTGGAAGAAATCAGGCATCAGCAACTGGACGTTTACTACGGACCGAAAATACATTTTTGCGTATATAAAGAGAAATAATCAACCGATTTCATTGAAATTTAATATTTAAATTTTTCGTACTAAAACAATGAAATATAAATTTTTTGGAAAGATCAGGGGTCGAAAACTTATCTGCGGGCTGATTTTACATTTTTCACCATATCTACGAACGAATTGATGGAATTTCTTGAAATTTGATATTTGAGTTCTGGTTGTTACCGAAACTAACTGGCGAGCATTTCAGGGAATTCGGGTAGCACAAAATGAAATTCTACTATGAGCCAAATTTACAGTTTTCTAGGTATGTTAGCTATAAGCCTACTAATGTCCTAAAAATTGGAAAGAAGTACTTAAAAGACATTTTTATAATATTCTGTAACACTTTTACTGAACTAGACAACACACATTGCGGTCGGTTATGTGCTGATCGCATCAGATTTTTTTACGTTGTTACATTTTTTTTATTGCACTTGTTATTAAATATTTTAAAATTTTTTACTTAAAAACTGCACTTTTTTATAAACACAATAACAAAATCTTCTTTTATATAACGGCACGTAAATTTCTAAGAAAAGAAAAGCAATATTTGGCATTTAATGTTAAATAGGTAATGTAAAGAGACTTACCTAAAGTTTTTGTCTTGACTATGTTTTTTTTTTTTTCAAGATACGATATTTTAGAGAGTGTAAGCGAGAGAGAAACAAAAATGCGTCTTAATTTAGTATTTCTAATTCGTTGCGAATTGCTTATAAAATATATATACTTTACTACTTATAAAATAAATATATTCTTTTTACAAACATTATGCATTGCACGGAACGAAGCACTAAAATGAATAAAAAATTTGCTTTTTCTTCAGCAACGAATTAAAAATATTAAAGTCAGGAGAATCTTTGAAAAAGAATGAAAATTAAAAAAAATTTTAAAATTTCGTATTTTTATGTTTTTTTTTAACTTAGTTTTTAATTAGAAATACTGAATGAAGGAGCATCTTGAAAAAGCAATGACGCCAATTTTTTTCTAGTTGTCTCTTTTTTTGCTCCGAGAATTGTCAAAATCGTGTATATATTTTATTTATACATTTCAAAAATTTTTCACAGATTTTAAAATTTTTAAAATTCGTCCGCTAATACAGTATACAATTTAGCATATAAAATATATAACAATCTACCTGGTGAATTAAAAAGTCATACACTAATAAATAGATTTAAGCAACATATTAATTCATACTTTATAAATAAAATATAAAAGTTTTATTAGAATCATTAGTTGTCAAAATGTTTAATCAAAATAAATTATCATATACAATATTGTTAGTTAAACCAAATATTACTCATTTTGTTATTGTTATGGATTAATTATTATTTGAAAGATTATTTGAAGAATTATGGATTAATTATTATTTGAAAGATAAAATTTTGTACTGATATTTGACAGTTAATTTTAAAAATTTTTTGTAATTATACTCTTTACGAGCTTAAAGCTCAATATTCAATAATTATCTTTCATTAATTATATTTTCAACTTGACACCAAAGTTACTTCCCATATCTTGAGTTAACTTACCCTA